TAAGACAGCAAGCGCAAAACCGTTTCCTCTCGCGGACTTTGGGTCCATTTTGGTGGACTAGACATCAGTAGAGGATTGAGATGTATTGATGGAGATTGACCCGGAGCTGTGCAGCCGGGCCAGAGGGATAGGGGTCTCTGTCAGGTAAGGTTTAAGGACCCTCAGCACATAATCTTAGGCTGATCCTCTCTCGGGATAGATCTGGCTGAAGAAGGTCAACCTTGTGCGTGGGCCAATAGACGTCACTTTGCCACCGCAGCAAGGGCGCGCAATGGTAGGCTTGAACATCCTTATGGTTAGTGCAGCTTATTTCCTAATGCGCACCTGCTAAGATGTTTCGCGCGATTAGAGACCGCGCCCACTGGCTCTGAGAACAAGCCCATCTACAAAGCCGCAGCCAAAAGCCATGTTCGCGCTGCGATGGAATGCTATAACGCAGTCGTCTTTGCGTGCGGCCAAACTGCGTCAGGCAAGACCTTCAGCGTTCACGGGTCCGAGACCGAACGAGGCATCACCTCTCGTGCGATGAAAGACGTCTTTACGTGCATATGCAACACAACCCGCCGGCAGTTCCTACTCAGGGCATCGTACTTTGAGATATTCAAGGAGCGAATTACGACTTCCTCTCGCCTTCGTCTGCTGGTGGAGCTGCTGATGGTCTGCCGCTGCAAGATAATGGCGTCGTGTCAGGGCTGAGTGGAGAACCTTCATGAAGTGTTAAGGGGTTGAAAGCAGTTCTTAACCGCGGAGAAGCCAACCAAAGAGCCGCAAACACTCATTGGAAACTTGGAACTACAGAAGCAATCGCAACTCAACGTCTTTCGCTTAGTACTTCTAGCGATTCAAGACTGGACCTCTACGGAAGACTTTCGATATTTCATGCACGGGCGGTTTCTAATGATGGTACGACTAAACTTTGAGGCAAACATTAGAGGGGAGGGGACACAACGAGGAGACTGTGAACAGCGACGAAGGGAACACGGAAATGAACAAGTGAAATCCTTGACAGCGAGTAGGGCGTTTGCCCAACTGTCAGCTCGCGCATCCTATCCCAGCATCTCTAATGGTCAAGGTTCCACTTGTATGGCTTATTGGTCATTCGCGACGAGGCGGCACCTTTGACACTGTTTCACGTCTCCGCCCTGGAGAGTAGGTGCCGCTTTGAGTGCTGATCGCGACTCCCGCTGTAACGGTTGTGCCAGGCTGGGTGGACGATTGAGTGTTCGTGGGTAGTTGCCTGGTTGGAATCGCTTGGACTGAACAGTGCGCGTGGTGATAGGGACGGGTGGCAACGTTCTTGGTCGACATTGATGTCTTCGTCGCGCATCGGACGAGTTAGCGGGGGGTCGAGGAGAGACGCGTAGTGATAGTACTCACCCAATGTTAGCGCGGGATCGTTACCTGGACGGGAGGTGAGGACACTATTCCAGTCATAGATACGGGCTGTTAAATATTTTCCCATCATATTCTACAGAGAAATGTGGTCGCTACGTTGGGGAAGTGGGCGGTGAATGTGCTACACTGACTTTCCCAAAGAAACTTTTTTAAGTGAGGTCGTGCCCTGCCAGTGGAAGCCAGTTTTTAATACCTACCATCTTGAGTAGAGAAATGAGACACTAAGATAAGGTATTCCGGTTTCTTGGACTCGGATCATTCGTACCTCCACATGTGCTGTCAGGATGTATTGCTAAACGCAGCACGGCACCGAGTCGCCCTGTCCGTGGACATCGCCAACGTTTCGATCCGAGCCCGAGAAACCGGAATACCTTACCTCAGTGTTTCACTGATCTAACCAAGATGGTAATTGTTAGACCCGATTGCCACTAGCAGGGCACGACCTCGCTTAACAAAGTTTCTTTTGGGGGAGTCGGCATAACACATTCACCGCTCACTCCCCCAACGCCGCCGCGAACAACATTTCTCTGTAGAATATGACCAAAAATATTTAACAGTCAATATCAATGTATGCCTGAGACAGTATTCATTTCTCGATCCCATTGTCCCTCTTCTATCTCTTCCACATCTTTCTCCACTCCGACAGCGACATGGACAGTGATTTCCGTATGAAACCTGCTATTGGAGATACTAGGATAGATGGGCGATCTGATAGTTGGGCGATCACAGTACAATTGCTTCTTTCTGTGTTCTCTTCATCCATATTTACCATCTCCTCGTTGTGCTCCTTCGCCCCCTTGCCTCAAAGTGTGTCAGGATATATTAGAAGGCTTGCATACTTCTAGTAAGATTACGGAATCTATTCTCTTGGGGCAGGACTTGTCATTCAAATGTTGATGTGGGACAGGATTTCCCTGATCCCCACTGCGGTAAGGATACTCTGGAAATATTCCTATAAAAATAGCTTACTACATAGAATATGAAGTTTTCATGCTACTCTAACTATGTTTGGCATGACTTCGCTTCCGTGGGACTTGCAGTGTTAGCATGCCGATCTCAGAGGACCGCTCACACTCAGCGCGCTCCAAGGCTAAAACAGCGGCACACATAAGCTAGGCCAGAGCACCGAAGCTTTATACAATCGGCTTCTCAATGCTATAAGCTTAGAAAGGCTCCGGCTCGGACGAGATGTATTGCACATTGATGGCCTTTTCTCACGTTCAACTGAGTCGCATGTAGGGACCCCGAGACAGGACTTGTACCTACGTACTTTTGTACCCATTCCTCGCACACGTTCTGGGTTCCGGTGAGAGTAGGGCCGCGTATTCACGCCCTTTGAGGCAGTTTACTCCGATACAATCGAGATTAGAACTTTGGCGACTCTCGGTCGGCCAAGATGGCTTGCCGCGCACAATTTTCGGGGTCATGCGTTTTTTCAGAGACAAGCGGGGTATACGTCATCGCCTTCAGGGTTCAGCTTCCGATTTCGAAGGGTTTCACTTTGAATCGGGGGCTGCCTTAAATCCCGCCGACATGAGCTCAGAGTCAGTGCTTCGAAATGTCACCCGTAGCCAAGAAGGCGCTTCAAATAATGGCGGTCGGCCATAGGCTAGAAACACCGATCCTCTTCCCGGACTTAAGCGCGCCTTCATTCGATCGCGGTAAGCACAGATGCCAATTCACACCTAAAAATTCTCGTTCTTGCTCATCCTTGACTTGTCGGTAGTTGGTTAAACAGGCAATCCTGATTCGCGTCGGTCACGGAAATCCTGAGCCTTATCAAGGTGGTGGGGTTGCTCCTCCCACGGTTCGGCCTTCAGCTGGAACCGGCCCAATTTCTATCTGCAGGCTCCTCCGAATCTCGTTCTCATGTTTTCGCCTACTAGATGACAGGCTCTCGCGTCTGGTGCACCATGCTCAAGGGGAGAAACCATGCTTTAACATCGGTGGCTAGTTACCAAAGCCGGCAGCAGTCGAACGCCCTAAGCACGTCACGCAGTGATGACGTTCATTTCATCTCAAGGAAGCGCTTATTCAGTTGAATTTCGGAATTTGTAGCCCTTAATAAACAAATTAACCTCACAACGTCACCTCCCAGAAGCAACGGTACGTCAAGTTTTCCAGGAGGGAACCAACCGTAGTACACCCAACCTGGCGCCCAAATATCATGAAGAGACTCACCAAGGAACCGCACTTCTCTTTACTTCCCTGCCCGACTTGATCAGCACCCGAGAAAAGGTCTCTGTCCCTTTCGAAACAGAGCACCTGGCTGGCCCACGACAATAGTTGAGCCTGCTCTTTTACGATCTAGCCACTGTCTTCCTTTGCCGGGAATGCACCCGCCTCATTTTAGATGATCTATATCGGGATGCAGCTACATAGTAAAACGACTGGGTGGTATGCCTTGACCACGCCTACCAAACGCGTCACCGGCCGCGAGTTCGACCTTATCTTCACTACTACTACGACAATGGATGCACCTAGACAGCACGGAAATAATTGACATCATGGATCTCGAGATATATACCCATCGTAGGTGCCAGATAGCGATCACTCGCCGTGGGACGATGAGGGAGATGTCTAGAATAAGTAACACGTTGCGGACGTGCGGGAAGCGGCAGACCCCGCAGTCCTTCCTGCTGCAATGCCCTAAGGACGGTCGATCACGGAAGCGAGGGTTACGTGACCTACGCAATAGACCGTATCATTCCTTTATTCCCCTTTTTTTTGCGAAACATGGGATTGCTTACTTGAGGGATTGAGAAAGGTTCCTCCCGTCGTACTAGTAGTTCGCCTCGCGGGCTGCCGTCCGTCAGACGGAGCTCTGATTCGTCGATGCTTAGCTTGCGATGGCCACCCTCGTCGTGAGGCTCTTTTATTGCGACGGTGGCTTATGAATCGGGTGAAGGACGTGGGCTCTATATATGTTTGTCAGCGTGAGGTGCGGGTGGGTCCATGCAAGTGGAGAAGGGCGGGGATCAACTGGGGAGTTACTTTACCAGAGACAGACCTTGCTGTATTTATAAAATGAAATAGAATCATTCTGCAATAGTTACCAGGCGCGATTGAAGCTTGGTTAAATCTGTCTACCGACGTGTCTGCGTCGATTTGGCTGCTTCTGTCGATAGCTTCCTTCCCATTGCTACGAACACACTTCCTTAATGTAGTAATCATCAGCTGAGAATACGGATCATAGGCTCCAGATACTGTGAAAGGGAGGGGGGGTGGTATCGGCGATTGGTGTTCAGGTGTCTTGCACGACCTGGCCGATGGTTGTGCAAATGCATACGCTATTTCCTCAGGATATCTGAGGTAGCCGCAATATGTCTCTGGAGCTTGAATCATTGTTAATGAATGGGTGCAAACGCTTTTGGAGGATGCCATTGATACTCTGAGCTTTGTTGTGAATATGAGGAAGTACATATTGGGAGAGGGCGATTCCCACTAGGAGATACGCCCCCGCATGAGTTCCTTTACTCCTTCGAGGACTATAAATATTAGTTCGAGCAATTAAGTTTAACTACAATGGAAACGTGTTGAGGTGATTTATGGGGCGCTTGCGTACAGCCTACGTAGTTACTTAAAGGGCTCACCTCTCAACCAAATCTTCTCTGGTATATCGGTAGAACATCACCCTGTCATTTAGGTCCGACTCCCAGGAGGAGGGCATAAAATAGGCGCCGGTGAAGAGCTGGGTTCGACTCCCAGGAGGAGAGAATGCTTTTTGCATCGTCGAGGTAGCTGTTACCGCAGCGAGTGGTTTATTTTAGCCGCTTCTCCACCCAGGAAAGCTCTGCTACGCGCCTGACGCGACCATTTCCCACGCTGCGCCACCGGAAATACTACTTTACTTTACTCTATTTCTTTTTCTAACACCCGGTCTGGAGACCAGCGTGGGAACCCTGGTCAAAATGCCGCGCCGATGCTCACCGAGCCCAGCCGGTTGCCCGCAAGGAATCCTCTTAGAAACACCACCCAGCTCGGAGTTCTTATATTAGATCGCATGAATATGTGCAATGGAAGTCGGCGGGAGACACTCGTGCAGGAGTTTGGCTCCGTAGATGGGCACGCGGCAAGCGGTAGAAACAACCGCGGTTACCAAAAAAGGAACCCGCTCCGACGCCGGACAGCACCCTTTCCTGACCCACTGCCCATGAAAAATGCTCGCGAGCACAGCCAACCATCTTGCAATGTAAGTAGCCTCCCGGTTTCAGGGGGTCACGCAGGCTCAATTTGCACCCGTGAGAATCTGGAGAGCTCCCAGCTTGCCGCGTTCCCACGCACGTTCGCCCGAACTCCCCCATTGCCCCATACGACTTCCAGGAGGAGAGCTTATTGGTTGCATAGTTTTATCATATCGTTAGCACCTTATCCCGGTTATATTTGCTCCACTTTTACTCCGATTTACTATATTATAGCAGTTCCCGTATCTGGAACGTTCTACTGAAGGGTCAGAAGCCGCGGTTTCCCACGATGCGCCACCGGAAGTACCGACTTTGCTTCCCGCTCTTCCTCATTCTAACACCAGGTTCATGAAACTACACGGAAACACCGTTCAAAAGGCCGCGCCAATAGTCACCGATGGCCCAGCCGTTTGCCGGCAGGAACCCTCTTAGAAACACAACGAGTTCAACGTCCTAGTGTCGGGCAAGTCCTAGTGTCAGGCCCACGAGTTAGTCCAAGTCTCACGGTTGTGTGTAATGAAAAGTGGGTGGGGGACGCGCGTACGGGAATTATTAGGCACAAGGCAAGCGGCAGAAATAACCGCCGCTATAAATGAAATCGGCTCCGACGCCGGGCAACACCCTTTCCTAACCCACTGCTCTGACAACTGCTTACGAGCACATGTCTACCATCTTATGATGTAAAGGGCGTTGCGTAGGCACGTTCACTGCTCCCACGCCTAGACCATGCTTCTCTCTGGCGCATTCCTTCGATCACATCGCGCGCGCCTCAGGCGTGGACATCTCCGAAGCCCAAGAACGCCCGTGTATAGTGCGCCTCAGACGCATGTCCTGAATGAGCATCGGAGACTAATGAAATATCAAGGCTTAAACACTGTACTTTGGTGCGAGTAACGATATAAGTTCCGGGGCTGACTCGAATGGAGCCCCTCAAGACTTAAGGGCTCCCCAATAGCGCCGGCCTCGGTTTTTGACAGCGTCGCCTGCTTTCTCCCGGTAGCTCATCCCACTGAACAGCCCCCATAAATATGTGCAACAATCCCTCTATCCGCCCGTTGGAGCGCCTCTCTAGGGTGATCTCTGAGACTCTCGTAAAAGGACCAAGCATCCTTAGGTAAAGAATCTAGTGCGTCAATCAATCTCCGACGCTAATAGACGGTGATGAAATACCGATAGTCAGATACCCGTAGTGGGCCGAGCCTTTCACAGGAGCTTGAAGAACCTTCCTCTTCAGATTGGTAAGGAGTGCTGCTCTGCTTTACGGGTTAGCCCATTTTTGACACGACTCTCGCCTTTCTCCGCAGGCCGTGCCACCCATATTATTATTGTACGTGATGCTCTCTTGTTACTGGCAATTATAATTCTAAGCCAATCTTTTACAGATTAGTTTATCCTATCCAGGAATGCATCTCCTGGATGATGGGGCTAATATGGAGCTCAATGGAACCAAATATGACCTATTCCTACTTCTTCAACATTTCGATTGTAGGTAGCGACATTCCCCCTGACAAGGAGTCTGAATAACCCTTCACTTGCTCTTTCAGATTGCCATAAAGGCAATCCGATCAATTTCACTATTATCAATGACTTTGAGGTGGAATTTACCGATTCCACCGGAGTGAGGAAGATCATCCCAAAAGTCGACGCGGGTCGAGACTCGATTGTGTGTTGAGGCCACTGAGCTAATCCTGAGCACTTATTAATTCTCGTCACTCCATAATAGAGGACTACAATCCAGAGAATTATGCGGACCGCGGAGCCTACCTCCAAAATCGCGTTTTTCTGTAAGTCTATCTTCTTGGCATAGTAGGTAAGAGCAGTTTGCTAACTATCAGTGCAATAGATGGGGGTCACGGCGAATACGCCGAGGTCAACATGATGGGTGGTGCAGATGGAGAGGACAGCGACTTCCAATGCATCATCGCCGCCGACGGCCGAAGAATATACGGAAAAGAACTTCGTTCTTGGTTTTGCGACGCAAGATATTCTTCAGTCGCGGTCACGGTAAGAATAACCACATCACATTACTTTGCGCAACATGCTGATAAGTTTATCTTAGGCCGTATTTGATACGTGCCACAGTGCTGGGTCAATGGGCAAGCGTTTCCTGATTTATTTATTAACTTGGCTTCAACTGACATTCTTTTTCCGAAGGCCTCCCTTATACCTATTACGTCAAAGGGAAGACTGCTAAGCCTTGTAAGGTGCCTCGCAGGAGGCTCCCGATTCCATTGGTAAGACATCGCTTAGGCACCGAATGTGCCGACGACTAACTCGCTGCTCTTCACCAATATCAGGTCCAAATTTCAGCGGCACAGATTGACCAATCTGCCTACTCTCAAAAGTTTGCCGATGGGTATTACGGGCAGTTGACCCACTGTTTGGTCGATTATCTCGAGAGTCAGTTTTCTCCATCTCAATTTGACGCGTTCTGACCATGTGGTGCTCAATAGATACCGACTTTCCTACGATGGAAGGCCTCGCTGTGTACCTTGACGCGAACTGCGACCCAACTGGGGAGCAGGTGCCTCAGGTATGCGCCTCACACAAGATTGGATGACCGGTTTTGGTATTCCAGGTGTCCATGATTTAGGGGCCCTATTCCCCGCCACCCTCATCTAAGGATTACATGTCGCCAAGTCATTAACAGGAAAGACATTTCACCAATTTAAAGTCCGATAAAGTCAGCCTATAACTGTCAAAATCAGAGACTTGCTTTTGGGTATTTTTATATGGATTCTACTTCATAATCCGAAGTTTCCGCTACGGATGTGGCGCGAGGAGGCGATTCTTTCCCACGGTACGCCACCCCGAATTCCTAACGATGTCTATGCTCTGCCTTACTCGAATCCTCGTGGCTAGAGTCTAAACCAGCACAAAAACTTCAGCAGTAATTTTTGCTGGTTTTTACTGCCGGCGTATTCGGTTACTTATGGGTATCTTTGGAGAATTACAGGCGGTTCGGAAACCTCATGGCACGTCCGCAGTTTGGTCCAGGTCCTATGAATGTGTGCAGTGGAAATAGGGGGCAGGCACTAGTGCAGTTTTCTTTACCTCCGCTTATAGGCACGAATTGAGCGGCAGGATTAACCGCCCGGCCTAGAACTGATGAGGGACGAGGTGGTTCCCATTACCCGTTTGTTTCGTTGCTACCTCTACACACGCCGTCGGACCCACGACCAATAACATCTCGGGTCTACACTTGCTCTATACCTGGGCTTGTGCGCATATGCTACCAGGAGGGGCACTGCATGCAGAGGCCTCGTTTAAGCGTTGCTTCGGCCATGCTGCTCGTACTGCCGTGCATGTGATGTGCCACGATAATCTCACCGCAACTACAAACATGAAACGCGCCACCTCCTACTTCATTAGCTACGATGGCAGCTGTAAAAAAAGGAGGACGCCCAGATTATAGCGATTTGTCTGCTAATTTGTTGTCCTGGAATGTTGCGATACCTCTTCCCGCATCCTCTCTACCGAATCGGTGCGCATTCCCCCCCCCCCGACCGGACGCTCGCGAGGCGAACATCTCTGCTAAATTTGAGTATATATATCTCAGGTGAATCGCAGGCCCAGCTTCCTCTATCGACCATTTTCCTTGCCACAAACAGCATGACGATTTCTAATACACTCGCAACTTCTGCTCCGCACAGCATTTCCGGGTCAACTTCAGCAAGTCTGACAGAAACTCGCCGCGTTCTGCCGTAGGCTACATCTTTGCATCAAACTTAAAACCATACTGATCGCAATCTTGTTTCGGACTCACTAGTTGGCCGGGCACAGCACAATCCGTCTTGCGACAGAGAGGGACAAGGTTTCCCGGCTTCTATGGCCCTTGGAAGTGGTGGCAATCTATATGCCCACTACGGCTGGCTCAACCCATCTCCGATCGTTTGGAGAATCTGTCTCCGGTGAATGGTAAGAGATAATGATACCGCCCAGTGGACAACGTGCTCACGCCTCTCTACGCTGTCAGACCATGTTACGCATGTTATTATTGCGAGTTCTCCTCCACGTTCTGCCAGAGATATAGCATGCTAATACCTCGTTCAGACCAGTCTATCTTATCCCGACATGTATCGTGTCGACGACGGTAGCCGTATGGAACTCCGTGCAACCAGGAATGACTTTTGCCTTCTGCTTCGACATTTTAACTGCGAGTATTCTTCCCCTGCATCTCACGTGCATGTAATAATATTCCATTTCAGATTGTCACGAAAGCAATTCCATCAATTGGACGCTTCTTAACGATTTTGAAGTCGACTTCAGCGACTCCACTGGAGTCCGCAAGCTCATCCCAAGGGCTGACACGAGCCGAGCCTCTTTGGTTAGTTCTATCACTCCAGACTGGTCGGTGTAGCATCTGAGTGCTGGACATCGCCTAAAGAGGTGTACAATTCAAAGGATTATGCGTGGCGCGGAGCCACACGCCAGGGTGCTCTTTTTCTGTACGCCTTGCTAAAAGAATAGGAGTCTTGGAGCTTTCCTGATCCTCCCAACGTCAACAATAGTTGGAGGGCACGGTGAGTATG